AAAATATTTCAAATTTCCCAGTCATATTACATATCATATTTTGAAAAAAAATTGAAACCAATTTTTTTTTCTGTTAATAGTGGCGCACCTAGCAAATGGTGCGCCATTACTAAGTTTGAAACTTTTTTCATTTCCCCTCTCTAGATCTTAAAAGCCCCGTATCTTTCGTTCTGTTAGGTTTTTGGGGATTCTGAAAATCTTCAACGGGGTTCTCCCGTTGAATTCGGATGTAACTTTTTGAGTAGATGATTTTTCATATAAAAACTTTTTAATCCAAGTTCGTATGCAAAAGTTATGCCAATTTTACTAAATTTCAGAGAGATTTTGCAAATAAAATCGAAATTCATATTTGTAAATTTTCCCAACAAATAGACCGCATATCACATAAGAAACTTATTTTCTTTTATCTTTTGACATTTCCATCATTTTCTTTTTTTTTCTAAAACTGAAAAGGCGGTCCATGGGGGGGCGGGGTGCAAAGAAAGTTAGTAATGACGCACCTTCACAAAGTGCACCATTACTATGTGTATGATTTGGTCAAACCTTGGTCAAAGTTAGTAATGGCACACTTTGTGTAGGTGCGCCATTACTAAGTTTGACCAAGGTTTGACCCAGTCATACACATAGTAATGGCGCACTTTGTACAGGTGCGCCATTACTATGCCAACTAGTAATCGCGCATTACCCCTGGTGCGCCACTGTTAATAATTTTTTTTCAAAACTAGTAATGGCGCACCACACACCAGTTGCGCTATTAGTAATATGTCAATAATGGCGTACCTGTATCTGGTGCGCCACTGCTAGGAGTGGACAGCTGCCCGTTGGGGCTTGCGGCCTGTCACAGGTGATCGGTCCTGGGGGTCGTACATGAGGTTTGCAAACAATCCCAATAACTCAATGTATGGTCAGCCGATGGTGTATGTGGAGTTCATTTCAGTCACTGATGTTGCCGGATGCAGTAGCAGGGGTGGTGAGGTCGAGTTGGCTATCACATCAGCCCCTAGCGTCGGCCCATCGGAACTGACGGGCGGCCAGCCTGTGTATGACACAGGATATTGGTCTGTGGCCGTTGACATGAGCGAACACGCGGAGGGATTGCTGGAGGCGCTAGATGATGATGATCATTCTTCTGCGTCTTCAAAGGGCAAGAATACTGCATCATCAAAGGGCAAGACTTATGCATCGTCCAAGGGCAAGAGTAGTGCATCCTCGAAGGGCAAGAGTTCTGCTTCGTCCAAGGGTAAGAGTTCTGCATTCTCGAAGGGCAAGAGTTTTGTATCGACGGAGGATGACGATGATGCCTTCATGTAGTTTTTTAGCTGTATTCCAGTTCTACCATTTAATTCAGATGTACTTGCCTTATTAGGTGACTCTCTTATTGTATGACATTATGTTCTACTCCTTCCATTTTTGTATACAAGGCCACAAACTCATATTACAGGTACCAAGGCAAAAGTTAATGTCTTCTAAGTCAATGTTGCAAGGCAGCTTGTCTCCTTATTTGCCGTGTAAATTAATGTGTATCTTCTCTTTCATGCACATCAAGCCAATGCTCTCACTCCCGTATGCATGCAAGAGGTAGTTAATGTCCTCCTTTACTAGTACTACGAGGTAAACATCATTAATATTGCATCGATTAGTGTTAGTGGCCTTGTATATCTGCAAATTATTATTTTGATAGTGGCCTTGTATATAAAAATGGAGGAAGTATCTTAATTTCATTTTGTAGTTGTTGCACGATGTTCGATAATTATGTTCTAAAACTATATTTGTTTTTCATTACGACATGGTACAACCGCAAATAAGATACATCGTACTACTGAAATGAAGCTACATTTAACTACTGAAATAAAGCTACATTAAACTGCAGAAATTAAGATACAAACGATTGCGAAATTTAATATACTACCACAGGAATCTACTGAGTCCAGCGTGAATATTTTTCTTTTCCATCGCCAGCTTCTTCTGCTGCCTTGGCCTCACAGCATTGGATTCCCGCCCGTGGAAATGAGCGTCGTCGCGTGGGAATCCTAGCCGTTTGCCACATTACAGATTGTCGGGCCGCATGCGTAGGAATCGTCATGTGAGAATCAATCACCGCAGTCTGCAAGAGGGACGCTGTCGCGCGTGCAGTAGCAACAGAGGTGCCGCCTACAGGTTCCCGCAACGTGTGATTAATTCCCGTAGTGCCGTCGCATCCGCTGAGGTAAAAGAAGCAAAAGCCGGAGTGATTCCCGGGCAACAGCAGGGCATCAGCGTTGTCGCTCATTATATTCCCACCCGTGAAATTTGTCGTCCTCCGCGCGTGGGAATCATCTGCAACAGCCACATCTTTTTTACCTTATCCGCTCGTGAAATTCATCATCGTCGCGCGCGTGGGAATCATCCCGGTCTGCAATAGGACAGGTTGTCGGGCCACATGCAGCACAAACAGTGCGTCCGCCTACTGCGGTGGCGGCATGGCCCACAGTCTCGTCGAGCGTGCAGCTATACCTGTCGGCCTGGGCACGGGCAGAGGCCGCCTCACCCGGTGGCGGCGGGCCCACCTGGCCTCACCCGTTCCGTCGTGGCTCGGGGCACTGTACGAGAAACGTTTTACCCGGGCGGCCGCCTCCTAGCGTGGCGGCATGTCCGGCCGCCTCCAGGCGTGGCGGCAGGTGCCACGTGTTGCCTGCCGCCATTTGTTAAGGGGTCCTTTTTGTCAATGTTTTCGACGAGTGGTCTTTTTTGACAATTCTGTTGGCCAGGGGGTCCTTTTGGACAAAAAAATCGGCGTTTCGGCAGCGGCGGCGACCCGGCACGCTCCCGGATCGAGGTAGAGCCTCAACAGGTCGCTTCTCATGTTTGTTCTTAATCCAGGCCGGAACCTGCAGTTGCTACTCGTGCCCAATTGCAGATTCACGGCGACTTGTTTTCGGCTGCCACGCGGAAGCTCGATCTCCCACCTGCGCAAATGCCAGTGGAGACTAGCAGTCCCCTGGAGGCTGACGACGTTTTGGTGTCTGGACGCTGCACACACTGGCTGAAGCTTGCGGCGACTCAGATGACCTGACGAGCCAAGAGATGTTCCTGGTGACCGAAACAAAGGGATAAGGAAGCAGAGGTGCAGGATCTTTGATTCCACTGGGATTGGGAGACTACAGAGGTACTGACTTTGCTTCCATCTTGACTCCTGCGCAATGATTTTGTGCTTAAACGTTTTAGATTGCCTAGCACTGTAATTAAACAACCTGCTAAAATAACCAGCACATGAATGAATGGAAGTGCACATACAGTGAAGGCAATGTTGACAAGCAACTCTGTTGATAGGCACTGCGTTTGCAACCTGCAAGTAAACTTTGAACCGCATATTGGCAGCGTCATCTAGCTTGTTCCAGTACATGGAATGTGTGAAGATTATCCCTCTTGCGACAAGCCTACCATGCGGCTATGCCTCTAAGTCGTGCCCCGACACGTGGGAGATATAGCCGCATCGTGGATGTGACAGGAGTAATCGGATATTTTTGATGCAGTTTTTTTTGGGTCCTATTTGTGTTCAGGATCTAGATCGAACCTCTTTGCTTTAAAAATCTGTCACGCCTGCAGATCAATCTACAGCGGACGAAGAATGCAAGTTCAGAGTTCAGAGTTGAGGTGTGTGTTGGGCATGGCCCACTGCGGCACTGCCAGGAGAGTGCGTGTGTGACTCGCCCAGCTGGGGCTTACTTGTACGCGGGTTGGTGGATGCTGTAGTAGACAGACAATGAGAAAAGTGTAATCTCCTTTCCCCTCTCGCACGCTCTCTCCTCACCTACTCTGTTCTTCCCCTTACCCCTCTTGTTCTTCCTCGATTCCTCGTCTCCTCTAGTTCGGGCCCTGACAAAATCCACGTCTAGACAGGACTGGGCAACATCTGAAATTCATGATCGCTGCAGAGGACTGCAGTCTGCAGCTGAGCTTCTTAAGGTAATCGCTGCAGAGGACTGCAGTTGAGCTTCTTGAGGTAATCGCTTCAGTGGTCTGCAGCTGAGCTTTCTTCAGGTAATCCCATTGCCAGCGAAATATCCGATGCATGATTGCTGTCTTTAGTTAATCATGCTGCTTCTTTATCGTGTCATTTTTTTGTGCCAGCGAAATATCTTCTCCTGCATGCATGATTGCTGTCTTTAGTTACAGGACATGCTGCTTCTTTATCGTGTTCAGGACGCTTTGGACCAATCATCCACACAGTGTCATCTTTGATTCAAAGAAATCCCATTGGAATTCTGAGAAGTGGGCTTCTTTTAAATGTTTTCGTATAAGAACCTTTTTTTATTCAAAGGAATTATATGGAATTTTGGAGGATTCTGTTCTTTGGGATTTCCCCCCTATAAAGCTTGTCTGATTTGTTGGACTGAGAACCATATGAATTTCACGCGCAATTCAAAAGAAGAATATTTATTGAGTCTAACCTCGTGTATTTGTTCCATTCAAAAGTGACATGTTAAGAGTTTGTGACATGTCTCATGCTAAAGTGTAGCGCTGTCTAATGTTTTCCTAAAAGTGTAGTATAGTAATAGTATTGAAAAAGAAGTGTATTGTCATGAGCGATGAGAATCTAAGAGCCAGATCTAATAGACTCATGAAGAATGCATTTTTTCTTGTTTTAAGGGTATTGTGTTTGTAACTGCAAATGGATCACCGAACTATTACCTCACAAAAAGTTTTTTTTCTTTTCGAAAAGGGTTTATCCCCTGCCTCTGCATCAGAGTGATGCATACGGCCAATTACCTCACAAAACAAAATGTACTGCAGCGTATTCTATTTGATGAAAGCGCAGAACCAAAGGCCCTATCGTTATCACTTCTGGAGCACATCACCAACAGTTTCTCTGATGACAAAGAAATTGGCTGTGGTGGCTTTGCAAGGGTTTATAAGGTATGCCTATACAGTAACTCTCAGTTAGTCAGCTACCCTCGTCTTGATCATGGTTTCTGTGACACTTAAGTTGATGCTGCCAAAGCATGTTGCTGTTATAGGGAATGCTTGACAATGGCACTGTTGCTGTGAAGAAGCTTTGCGATATGCTTGATATGGATGAGAAGAAATTCAGCGAAGAAATTCGTTGTCTGATGAAGGCGACCCACAAAAATGTAGTACGGTTCCTAGGATATTGCTCTGACAGACAAGGGGAAATGGTAAACTGCGAGGGAAAACTTGTCTTAGCAGATGTACGACAAAGGCTACTCTGCTTTGAATATCTACCTAAAGGCAGTCTAGATAAGCACATCACCGGTAGGCTGATGTCGCATGTATTTGGTTCAAACATCCATTTATTTAGTGTTTAGTGACTACTGACGACTTCAAGTTTCTCAAATACTAAACCAACTTTCTGCTCTCCGTTTTCTAGATGTATCTTGTGGACTTGAATGGAGAAAGCGCTACCAAATCATCAATGGAATTTGTGATGGTTTATATTATCTGCACCAAAATCACATCGTTCACTTGGATCTTAAGCCGGCAAATATACTGCTAGATGATACTATGTTGCCGAAAATTGCTGATTTTGGTCTATCGAGGTGCTTTGATGAAAAGCAAAGCCGGGCTATTACATCAAAACGTGACCTAGCCGGCCGCCACCGCCCAAAAAGCTAGGGTTCTCCGCCTCCCGCCGGCGCTGGTGCCGATCCGCCCCGTCTCCGGTGGCCTTAGGGCCATGGAGGCGGAGTGGATCTCAGCCCTTGCCGGTGGGAGGGCTCTATTTTTTAGATTTTTTTTTCGAGCTTTGTTAGGATTTGTGTCCTGCTCAGGAAGACGAGACCGTGGCGGCTCCCTGAAGATGGAATAAAGGTCTCCCCGCCTAGCCCCCGTTCCGGTGATGCGTCGAGCATCATAGGTGGGCGTGTGGAGGTGTGTCTCCGGCGGATCTGTCTTTAGTGAATTTGCTCGGATCTGTTCGTCGTTTGTTTTCGTTCATGTGTCTTCAGGTTGGTTCCTTCTGATCTACACTCTTCATCCGCGGCGGTTGCTGTTCTGGTGCGTTGGTTCTATGGGGCCTTAGCACGACGACTTCCCGACTGTCTACTACAACAAGGTTTGCCCGGCTCCGGCGAGGGAGGGGCGATGACAGCGGCGCGCCTTCGGCTTGCTTCAGTGCTTGTAGTCGTCGCTAGGTGGTCTATGGATCTGGATGTAATCTTTACTATTTCTAGTGTTCGTTGTACTACCTTGATTGAAGATGAATAGATTGGAAGTTTTTCCGCAAAAAAAAACTAATTGGAACTATGTAAGCTTGCTATGACTCCTGTAATTTTTTTTGTTATGTATGAATGAATATCAATCCCCTTTTCTATTAATTGATTAGATTTATAAATATTCATGCAGAGGATATTTGGCACCAGAATTTTATACGCGCAGACAGATCACATTCAAGTTAGACATTTATAGTCTTGGTATGATAATCATAGAGATACTAACAGGAGACAGGGGATATGCTGATATTGACAATGTAAGATGAGTTTGTTCTAATATAAAGGCTTGATTTCAAAATTACTGTGTTGCACTGCTTTGTATAATATCATTCTTCCATTTAGACGTAGCATAACATCATTTTTGTATCACATAGTACTGCAAGGCAAAAATTAGCTGCACAAGAATCAAACATTTTTTCCCATGGTATCGGTAACCGTAAAATTATATACGTATGAATAATGAAATGTTTCCACAATGCATCTTATGCTGTTACCATCTATTAAAATCTAGACGAACAGTGTTATAAGTGTAACATGTTTATAGTGATGCGTGTTAAATTGTCCTTACTGTTAGACGATAGGCTTGTAGTCGTGTCAACTTGTATCAATATTGTATACGTGTGATCTGTTGTAAACATGGCCGGTGGTTAGACTAGATTGATATCTATCTCCTTATCTTGTGTATAACTTGGAGTAGAGGTCAAGGCTAATAACCACCGGCCGAACCTTGTAATCTTGTGCTATATAACATGTACGCGTCCCTGCCAGAGTGCATACGCTTCCACCAATTCTTTCATGGTATCAGAGCCTGCCTCGCTCACATCCATGGCGACGTCTTCAAGCTCCACCTCCTTCCCCTCGTCACCATTTGCACACAGCGTCACCGAGAAGCTCACGACAGGGAACGAGGCGCTATGGCGCCGAACCGTGCTCTCGGCGATCAGGGGGCGCAAATGCAGGGCTACCTCGACATCGACCAGGTAGTGCCCCCTCTGAACATTGAAGTCACCTCCGACGATGGCAAGACCAAGTCGAAGGCACCCAACCCGGAGTTCTCCGCGTGGTACGCGAAGGATCATCAGGTGTTCTCCTACCTGCTGTCCTCCCTGCCGCGCGAGATGGCCATCCAAGTGGCAACCCGCCAAACCGCCGCCGAGCTCTGGAACACGGTGCAGGGGATGCTGGCCTCGCACACCCGTGCCCGCACCGTCAACGTCAGAATTGCGCTGGCGAATCTTCAGAAGGCCAAATCCAACATCACTGAATATGTTGGTAAGATTAGATCTTTATGTGATGAACTTGTTGCTTCAGGAAAGAAAGTAGATGAGGAGGATGTTGTGTCTCATATCCTTGCTGGACTCGATGAGGAGTTCGACCCCGTGGTTTCTGCCATGTGCTCTCGGGTCGAGCCGATGACCGTCCCCGAGTTGTACTTGCAGCTTTTGAGCTTCGAGACACGTATGAATCTGCGCGGCGGGTCCTCCCAGTCCTCTGCAAACGCAGCCTCCCGCGGACGCTTCAACAAGCAGAAAACAGCAACGGCGGCAGCAGCGGTGACCGCGGCCGCAACTTCCCCAAGCAAGGCGGTGGCGGCGGTGGTGACCGCGGCCGCGGCAGATTCAACAAGCAGCCGAACCGCGGCAACATGGGGGGCAACAACGATGGTGGCGGCGGGAACTACAACAACAATCCCGTTGCCAAGGTTGCTTGTCAGATCTGCGGCAAGCTCGGGCATGCAGCATGGAAGTGCTGGAAGCGTTACGACTCCTCCTATCAAGGAGGGGAAGAGCGCTCGGTGAACGTGGTGGCGGCTCCCCAGTACGGTGTGGACACGAACTGGTATATGGACAGCGGAGCCACTGACCATATCACCAGCGACTTGGAGAAGCTGACCGTCCGGGAGAGGTACACCGGCGGCGAACAAATCCACACTGCAAATGGATCAGGTATGACTATCGATCACATTGGTCATACAACTATTTCAACCCCTGATCGTGATCTTCTTTTGAATGATGTTCTTCATGTTCCGGAGGCCACAAAAAATCTGATTTCTGCAAGTAAACTTGCCATTGATAATGATACCTTTGTTGAAATTCACCCTCATTTTTTCCTTGTAAAGGATCTGGAAACGAGGAGGGTCCTTCTTCGAGGCAGGGGTAGAGGAGATCTCTATCCTGTCAAACACACCGGAGGAAACGTCAGGAAGCAAGTGCTAAGTGTCACTAGACCATCTTTGGACTGGTGGCACCGACGTTTTGGTCTAATGTCAGACGAGATAGTTGCATCATACCAGTGGCTTCTTCATGTATTTTTGGAGGCAATGTCCCAAACGGCACCCATTTCAGCAATCACCGATGGGGATGGTTCAATCGCTAAAGCAATAGCTACTATCTGGACCGGAACAGATCATCGTTTGTGCACGTGGCATATCGAGGAGAATATGGTGATCCACCTCCGCAAGAAAAGCTTGAGGAGAATATGGTGTGGCATGGTAGGACGTGCACTGAATTGAAGGGATCACCTTCAGGAGCACAATGGGGTGGCCATGGTACATCCATCCTGCCCGAGGGAATCACAAAGCATGTTTTGTCATAGCCCTGCAAAACAGAGGAAAAATTACTACTTGTACTAACCTTGTCAAGTGTATGCATGTAATAAATGTTGGACATAACTAAACACGGAAGAATGAAATGCAACATATGGAAGAATCGAATGCTCATTCCTTTCTCTCCGCTTTTTGCGAGGATCATTACTCTCGGCGTAATAAGGTTAAAACATCATAATAACAATTAACACCAATGTTCAAACGGTGGTTATCCCATGTGAATCTAGTTTTCCTTATAAAGCACATGCCAAGTCTGTTGATCCCAGTCCAGCAATTGCACAAGAAGAAGCGAGCATCATACATATTGAGCAACATAAGCTAAGAATTGTTTATAGTACATTCCAAAATTAATAGCTTATCATCTCTATTGATCTCCAAATCTCACCTATCAGCCAAATTGAAAAGAATACATGTTGAATGAAATGTATAAGTGTACGAATGCAATGATTGAACGTTCGTAGATCTTGCAGTCGGGGCTGGATGAATGGGGCTGGCCGACGAGGCCGGCGGCCGGCTTCATCTAGTCCCACAGAACATGATCCATACCCAACCACGTTGCCTTCGGACGAGATGCATGGCCAGATCAAAGCTGTGGCCATGCACTACTAGGGAAAAGTCTATACACAGAATCTTACCAGCAGCGCGCTATAAAATCAGGCGCTGCTGCTAAGTAGCAGTAGCGCGGGCTGTGGAAACTCGCTGCCGAAACAAGTTTATCAGTAGCGTGCGCACTCCAAGCGGCGCTACTGCTAAAATTCTCACGACGCCGCCGCGAGGCCAGTTATAGCAGCAGCGCATTAAAATAGACATCGCTACTGCTACGTAACGTAGCAACAGCGCATTCAGGCAATAATCGCTACTGCTAAATTAACTACAGATCTCACTAGCCTCATCCACAGATCACACTCACACACACTCACGGTCTCCTCCTCACCCCCCGCGCCGCCGGTCCTCCCCCGTCGCCCCTCCCTCGATCTGCGCCGCTGTCGCCTCATCCTCCTCGTTGGACTCGATATCGGCCTCCTCCTCCGTCCTCCCTCCACTCGCCGCTGGCCGCCCCCTCCTCGCTCCGCCTTCCTCCTCGATCCGTCCTCCCTCCACTCGCCGCCGGCCGGCCCCTCCTCGCTCTGCCTTCCTCCTCCGTCCTACTATCTTCTCCCTCCTCGAGTCGCCCCTCCTTGTCCCTCCTCCCTGATACATTTTGATTTAGTAGGCTTTCATATGTAACATTTTGATTTAGTTGATTTAGTATGCTAGTGGATTTAGTATGCTAGTGGATTTAGTATGCTAGTTGATTTAGTCGATTTAGTTGATATGATTCAGTTGATTTAGTAGGCTAGTTGATTTAGTTGATTTAGAACATTTTGATTTAGTTTATTTAGTAGGCTAGTTGATTTAGTTGATTTAGTAGGCTAGTTGATTTAGAACATTTTGATTTAGTTGATTTAGTAAAATGGCGCCACCACCAACACCACTATGTCGACTGTGCAAGTCAAGGTGCGCCAGCAGCCTTGCAACTGGCAAGCTGTTCGGCATCTACTTCCATCCGAGTTTTCGTCATGCGGCGATAAGAAATTAGATGAAATGTAACAACTATTTTATTTTTAGTGTTGGCATTACTGCATTGTGTCATTTTGCTTTTCTTACACAGATCGTCCCATGCAATGTGAGGTTGAAATTAAAACAAGCTGACAGAAGACACTGTGACATTTGAGGCTCCTGAGGGGCCGTACACTATGGAGGTCGAGAAAGGACGCAATATGTCGCAGATTGGAGGAGATGGATGGGCCCGTTTCCTCGCTCGCATGCGTCTTACTGGTGGTGAGTTGATCAGATTCTCCTTCAGAGCAGAAAGACCCAAGCTGGTTGTCATTTATATCAACCTGGTGGAAGATGATGAAGATGACGAAGATGATGAAGATAATGAGGACCCACTCAATAAAGATGATGAGAACCCACTTCATGAAGCCATCATAGCTCAAAGAATGAGGCTGAGCGAGGAGGAGGTGTGCAACCTATGGGACATAATTCCGCCACGTGATGACTTTGTCGGGGTGCCATTCGTGACCCGCCTGACAAGTACCATGGTCGATCGGCATGAAATGGTATGTTATATGTACTGCATGTAGTAATTTGATGATATATATATATGCTTTATTGTTATACTTACAAATACAAATTATCCGATTATATGCTTAGTGAATCCGATGATATGCTTAGTGTAGAGTCCAATGATATGCTTTGTGGAATCTAGTCGATGATATACTTTAGTGTAGAGTCTGATCACATGCTTAGGCTATTTATTAATTGATATGTTTTTTCTTATTCAGAGATTGCCAAAGAACCTATCTGTGAGTTGTGGTATCGAGCCTGATGAAGAAGGCTCAGTTGGACTACGCCTTACCGCAAGGGGCTCCGTCACCACATGTACTTACCGCATGGGCACAGATGGTCGCACACACTTGAACTCGGTTGGGTGAAAGAGATTCCTCGTTGACAAGAATCTTCGTGCTGGACAGACCATCCTAATTACTATCAGGAACACCCATCGCCCAGGCTTGAGGATGATGATCGTCGTCGATATCATCTAA